GCTGCTGCTGACAGAAGAGGACCAAAAGCACCTCCCGGCACCAAAACAGCAAGGCACGGAAGGACGAGCAGGCCACAGAATCGCACCAAAAAAGTGCCTAACGTGACTTCTGAAACCCTACGAGAACTGAAGACTTGAGGGAACTGATAAGAGATGTACTAGACGGCTGCTGCCGTTGCTGCTGCTGCTGCTGCTGCTGCTGCTGACAGAAGAGTACCAAAAGCACCTCCCGGCACCAAAACAGCAAGGCACGGAAGGACGAACAGGCCACAGAATCGCACCAAAAAAGTGCCTAACGTGACTTCTGAAACCCTACTAGAACTGAAGACTTGAGGGAACTGATGAGAGAGAGAGATATATATATATACTAGACGGCTGCTGCCGTAGCTGCTGCTGCTGCTGCTGCTGCTGCTGCTGCTGACAGAAGAGTACCAAAAGTACCTCCCGGCACCAAAACAGCAAGGCACGGAAGGACGAAGAGGCCACAGAATCGCACCAAAAAAGTGCCTAACGTGACTTCTGAAAGCCTACTAGAACTGAAGACTTGAGGCAACTGATGAGAGATATACTAGACGGCTGCTGCCGTTGCTGCTGCTGCTGCTGCTGCTGCTGCTGCTGCTGACAGAAGAGTAGCAAAAGCACCTCCCGGCACCAAAACAGCAAGGCACGGAAGGACGAACAGGCCACAGAATCGCACCGAAAAAGTGTCTAACGTGACTTCTGAAACCCTACTAGAACTAAAGACCTGAGGGAACTGATGAGAGATATACTAGACGGCTGCTGCTGCTGCTGCTGCTACTGCTGCTGCTGCTGCTGACAGAAGAGTAGCAAAAGCCACCTCCTGGCACAAAACAGCAAGGCCCGGAAGGACGAACCGGCCACAGAATGCACCGAAAAAGTGCCTTAAAGTGACTTCTGAAACCCGAGTAGAACTGAAGACTTGAGGGAACTGATGAGAGATATAATCGACGGCTGATGCCGTAGCTGCTTTGCTTGTGACAGAAGAGTACCACAAACGCACATACCGGCCACCAAAACAGCAAGTCACGGAAGGACGAAACAGGCCCACAGAATCGCACCAAAAAAGTGACAAACGTGACTTCTGAAACCCTACTTATGAAGACTTGAGGGAACGGATAAGAGATATACTAGACGGCCTGCTGCCGTGCTGCTGCTGCTGCTGCTGTTTGATGCGCTGCCAGAAGAGAACCAATAGCGTTCGTAAGTAGTAGTAGTAGTAGCAGTAGTAGTAGCAGTAGTAGTCAGTAGTAGTAGGTAGTAGTAGGTAGTAGTAGGTAGTAGTAGGTAGTAGTAGGTAGTAGTAGGTAGTAGTAGGTAGTAGTAGGTAGTAGTAGGTAGTAGTAGGTAGTAGTAGGTAGTAGTAGGTAGTAGTAGGTAGTAGTAGGTAGTAGTAGTAGGTAGTAGTAGGAGGTAGTAGTAGGTAGTAGTAGGTAGTAGTAGGTAGTAGTAGGTAGTAGTAGGTAGTAGTAGGTAGTAGTGGGTAGTAGTGGGTAGTAGTAGGTAGTAGTAGGTAGTAGTAGGTAGTAGTAGGTAGTAGTAGGTAGTAGTAGGTAGTAGTAGGTAGTAGTAGGTAGTAGTAGGTGGTAGTAGGTGGTAGTAGGTGGTAGTAGGTGGTAGTAGGTGGTAGTAGGTGGTAGTAGGTGGTAGTAGGTGGTAGTAGGTGGCAGTAGGTGGTAGTAGGTGGTAGTAGGTGGTAGTAGGTGGTAGTAGGTGGTAGTAGGTGGTAGTAGGTGGTAGTAGTAGTAGTAGTAGTAGTAGTAGTAGTAGTAGTAGTAGTAGTAGTTAGTAGTAGTAGTTAGTAGTAGTAGTTAGTAGTAGTAGTTAGTAGTAGTAGTTAGTAGTAGTATTAGTAGTTAGTAGTAGTAGTAGTTAGTAGTAGTTAGTGTTAGTGTTAGTGTTAGTGTTAGTGTTAGTGTTAGTAGTAGTAGTAGTAGTAGCAGTAGTAGTAGTAGTAGTAGTATGTACAATAAGATAAGATATAGAACCCTCCTGCTGCTCCCGTTGCTGCTGCTGATCTTCCCCCCGAGACTGAAAACGCACCCTTCCGGAGGGGAAACACAGTGGCCCTGAAAAAGCAGCTCCCGGCAGGAAAACACCCTGGCTCTGAAGAACGGATGGGTGGTAGTAGTAGTAGTAGTAGTAGTAGTAATAGTAGGAGTAGTAGTAGTAGTAGTAGTAGTAGAAGTAGTAGTAGTAGAAGTAGAAGTAGAAGTAGTAGCAGTGCAATACATCTTTTTCCCTTACGCGCCCCCCCTTGCGTCGGCCGGGGTCGGCGGATTCTGATGTTGTTGTATTGCATTTTGTTGATAAAATGATCAGCGTATAGCTGACACACTGTGAATTTTGCGGGGAAATTTTACGTTTCGCTGAGGCCGAAGAGCTTCTGGACACCTTGCAGCGAGTCTGTCGCAACCTGGACACCGCTAGGCGGTGGGTTTTTACGCCATGGAAACAAGAGATTTCAAGCACGAAAATTGGGGGATTTCAATGGATTTCACCATACATATCCATGATTTCACGGGGAAGTTAGAGTTGTACTGAACATTAAGCGGTTTTTATTGGGGGTGGCATTCTTTTTTCTTGGCATCAATGGCAACATAGCGTGAAATTCTAGGATATGAACGAACAAGACATCAGGTGGGTACATGATTTGGAGATATTTGAAGCACCTTGGAGCCAGATCCACTATTCGACTGTTGGAGTTATATTTTAGGAAGCAAAATGGAAAGAATTGTCGTGATGTTGATATATTGTGATGTCAGAAACGGAGCTATTAAGCCTTAAGAAGCAATATTAAGCCACCATATGAGCTATGGTCAATACTCATGGTTAATAACCATTAATAGGGGCTAGTCATCCAATGGTTCATAGGGATTTATAATAACCATTATAAGGATCCTTATTATGGATGGGATGACCATCAACCATATAGTGAGTATTGACCATGGCTCATATCGCCAGTTAATCTTGCTTCATCGCATATCGGACAGGGGCATCGACGCCCTGCGCGCGGCTTTACGTGAAGGTCATGAGGTGCCGACTGGAACAGTGGACGTGACGCAGTGCATGACTATGAGTCTGACTATGGTGGTATCATGATTTGTGACTTGCTATAGGATAATATTTGAATATAGTTTTATATAGGATATATGTAATATTGAACAAAGTCGAATATGTCTAATTGATGTGGACTTGTGATGAGTTGCTGCATTGATTAAGGAATAATTTAGATACAGCAAACCTATAGTTTTTTGGCCATCAGAAATTTAGATATGCGGTTTACCAGAAAGCAATCCTGTCATCCCAGCAACCAGTCTTGGTTCTTGGACAATTTAGTTTTGATATGTTTGCAGTGAGTTTGTTGAATGATGACACATAGCCTGCAAAATCCTTCTTCAACCTTACCAAGCAATCCACAGAAAGCCAACACATATCAACACATATCCAACAGCAACATTCTGAAAACACATTTCACAAGCACCATCATCCACAATCAACATCATCAAAATTCACCAAACATCCCAAAAACTAAACATGGTGTGATGCCAAAAACAGCCAACATATCCTATCCAACCAGCATCACACCATCGCCTACAACAGACAGCTCCACAGGCGCGACTCCCTGCGGTGCTGTTGCAGCGGGCCGTGCAACGCCTTGGAACACGAGAGGCACAGCGGGTTTTTGGGGGTTTTTGTTCCATGATACCCTCTGGTAATGACTAACAGTTTGCTATTGAAAATGGCCATTTATAGTGAGTTTTCCCATTAATAGCATGGTGATTTTCCATAGTTATGTTAGTTTACCAGAGGGTATTCCCTATGAAAACATATGAAAACATGTGAAACATGGACGTTGCTAAGTCACTGATGTCACTTCCGCTTAAGACAGAAAAAGCAAGAAAGTTGGGATGAGTTTGGGACAAATGTGTCAGATGTCATTCTCTTCTGATATCTTCTGATTGTGTACATACCCAAATTGACTCACACCCAAAGGGGGAAAATGATCAAACTGATCCAAGTATTGTGAATTACAATGATGATCTATTTTTTTGCTATGGGTGAAAGCAGCCACAGGTTGATGCTTTCCAAGGGAATAGGGTGTTTTTATCCCTGGAAGATTGATAGCAAACGAACGCTTGTAAGACTACTCGTCGAACACAGCGAAACTCTTACAGTCTTTCAAGTTTGAACTTCATCAAACTTGTCATCACTTGGAAGATTCAAAAGCTTTGCTTCCGACCGGACGTGTTGCAATTGTCGCTGCTCTGTTCATGATCACTTCATCAAACCTAGCAGAAGCTTTGCTTTGAACATGTGTCATAGGATCAACCACAAAGGGTCTCGAAAGGGAGAGGCATGCGCAAGAACGTTTGAGAGAAAGAACACTACAGAATCCACTGCACGGAAAATCAAAAGACTCGGGGTATTGTTCAGCTTCACATGCAACGTGTTGAGCAACTCCAAGATTTTCCTGAGAGAGTTTTTGAAACAAGACAGTCTTGCGATATGCTTTTCAAAGAGATATGATAAATATATATATTATAAATATGAGAATGGGTCACAACTTACAACTTCCCCATATTTGTAATTTACCGAATTTACCTTGGGGGTAAAGAATCGATACATCGACGCCAGTGACAGTACCAGCAGGCAGCACAACAAGGCCTCGAGATGGCCATAGAGGTCAGGACCTGAGCAAACTTCGAAAATTTGAAGGCTTGAATCATGGGAGAATATCTCATGTCTGGAATGTCTGGAATGTCTGGAATGATGAGAGTTGGTGTTTTTAATTATGATTTCTTTGAAATACATTTTTTCTCTATAAATTATACAATATTGTACATATATATATAATCATATATGTATATATAATATGTTTGAATGATTTGACATACTTTGAATTTCTGCCTGGGTCGACCTTTTCAGCTTAGGCCGCCCGGGTGCCGGTGGTGACCGCCGCCTTGGAAACGGCGAAAGATATGCACTTGCCGTCAGAGGAGGCTGCAAGGACAGCCGCTGAAGTTGGCTGAGATTGGTTGGTAAAAATATCAAAATGTTTCATATATATATATGAGAATATAATTATATAATTATATAATATATGTACAGTATATATTATATCGAAGTCACGAAAGGTAGCGTCAGCTACCTGAGTTCTCCGTGCTTCAGCACAAGCATAGGGGGTATTGGGGGGAACGTGGAATTCTAGCCGTTATGTATTAGATATCAATTACAAGGGCCCCCCCCCTCCGAAAATGGTCATGGGTTCAATTCCCGCGGGTGACGCGGTCACGGTCCGCCACAGTAGAGGCACACTCTCCATGAGGGAGATGTCCCTGTAGTTCAGCATAATTGGTTTGCTTCAGCCTCAATAACAGTTGCTGCAAGGGGTCTTAAAAAGGGGTTTTAAATAATCTCCTTTTTTGTGCATCATTTCACGCTGCACAAGACACCGTATCATGCAGTCATGCTCTGGATAAAATTATCTTAGACTGCGCAAAAACGTTTTTGGTGTATCATCTTAGGGGCGCAGCATTTTGACACCACTCCTCTCCCACTACACTAGCTTTCGTCCGCCTGCGCCTGCTCTCAAGTTTTAATTGTCTTAATTATATCAAACGATAAATCATCAGAAATATGGGCAGATTGCAGTTCAAGAATGGTTTGACCAACCATACATGGAGGATCATGGAGGTTTGCGATTGTTATTATCCATCCAGCAAGTGGGATGACAACTTCCAGTTCCCAATGGACCATGATTTTTCGCGGGAGTTGAACACCCAACATCACCCAACCAGTTGTCAGTCAGTCAGATTTGGTATGGTCTTTTGTATGGCAGAGTGAAAGATAGAAAGAAACACACACTTGCTCAGACTTCTTAAATGTTCTTAATGAAATTCATATGACATGAGTTTCCTTTGGACAAAGGTAATGACATGTAATGACCACGACTTGACATGTTGAATGCTTTCAGGAGACTGCTGGCAGCCATTAGCAACTCGGAAAAGCTACTTCAGGCAGGAACGCTGGACTCAAAAAATAAGAAACATGCCAGGCATTTCTTTGATGGCCATCAAAGGACCGTGAATCAGCATCTTTCGCTCGTAAAATCCCCATTAATAAAGGTTGAATCACCATTAAGACGGACCCCCCCTCCTGATTCACTACGTTTATTGGTTAGATTCCTATGTTAGTACCGACATTTACTGTATTTAAACATATTTAAACATCCATCCATTTTGGGTATTTAGGTACACGTCACAAATCGTCGTCTCTACAAATCCCATTATACCATCTCATGTCGTATTTTGGAAGCCAAAAAATCAGCTGAATCCCAGAAGATCAAGGCCACCTCCCGGCCACCTCCCGGCCACCTCCCAGCGGTGCGAAAAAGGCCGCGCTGCAGTCCGAGAGCATCCACGACTTGGAAAACGCCTTGGACTCCGCTGCCAGCAGCGGACTGCGGGAGGAGGAGCTGATCCACCGGGTGTGGAGCCTGGGGGAACTTGGGGTGAACTCGGTGTACTAATATCTACTATAACATAATCTATAACATTGTTTAACCAACAAAAAATGCTGGTTAAGTATGGTTAGTATGGTTAAGTCATAACAATGTGTGAAATTACCAGCAAACACTTGTGTTTATTAACCCATTAAGGGTGGGTTTAGCAACCACAAATTGTGATATGACTGGATAAAGACAATGTTTTTTTTCTTTTTCAGTGGTAATTATAATTAACCAATCATTGTGCTTCACTAGCAAAATCGGTATGTATTGTCCATTAGTTGAGGATCACCCTACCAAAGAATTATTGTGGCCAAAAATGAACCGACATGGACCAACCACAAATCATTAATGGGTTTTTACGGACTATAAATGAAGTTTAACAGCCAAAAAATGGTGTTTATTGACAATGGAAATCTACCCACCAAAATTGTGATGTAACCGGATTACAATAAATGGTCGAAACAGTGATGAGGCTCGAGCCATTTTTGTGGCTCCATTGGTACGTACGATTTATCACGTTCTTATAAACTGATTTACAATATATTAATTTACTAGCTACAAATATCTACACACCATGCAAGGATGATATGTAAGGATGACATTTCTGAAAATTCATCTCTTTTTCGCATGTGAATATTAACAACGCCATTGTCATGCCGGATATCGAGGCGCAGAAGCTGCTGGCGCAGCAGTTGCAGATCCGCCAGGATGCTGAGAAGCAGCTGGAGGATGCCATGGAGGCGGAAAATGGCGCCGAAAAAGAACACAACATGGTGTCATTATCATTATGGTATTATATGGTATCACTATAGTATCACTATAGTATCACTACGGTATAATATGGTATCATTATGGTATCAGTATCTTATCATTATGGTGTGATGAATGTTGATGAATGTTGATGAATGTTGATGGTTTTTACCTCAAGATCTTGATGGTTGATCAGTGTTGATCATGAGATATTGGGATATTCCCCGGTCTTGGACAATCCCAAATGTTGATTTTTAGATTTTACAGAGTTCTCCATGATTAATTCGAATGAATCCATGTTTCATCATTTTCCCCCAAAACGATACGTCAAATAATAGTATTCCCCATTGACTTTGCCACCAAAGAGGAGTATTTGGGAAATTTGTTGGAGCTGATGACCTTTTCGTCGGGCACTCTTTTGGGGAGGGTAGGATCTCTGTAATTTGGGTTGTGCCAAATTGAGGTACCCAACAATCCGCTGATTAACACATTCCCCGTGAACAGTGACAATGAAGGAAAGCCTCATTTGCACACGTCAATGAAAATGATGGTCTTAGGCTTTAGGTTGGTTGGTGCAGGTGAAATAACTCAAATTGAGGAAGATTGGTTTGCTGAAAGTCATGTGAAACAACTTGTGCAGACAAGAAACTATTCAAATATCTTCAAATTGGAAATTGTGGTTGGTTTCCCTTTGCTTCAAGTTCTGTTTTGATGTTGCGATATGTTACAAGTTTTTTTTTGGATATGTGGGTATGGATCAATACCTATTAATACCATTTTTAGGGGGATGAACATCCATTTACCAGCTATTGTGATGTTCACCATGTTTTTGTCATTTGAAGTCTGGACTTTTTTGGCGCTGCATGTCAGGCACGTCGGCCCTCAATGCTCAGGAAAGCCTTGGACGTCTCGGGAAGGTGCGGGAAGTTGATGACCAGGTGATCTGGGTAAACATGTTATTACTGTTATTAGATGTGGTTTATAACTTGGTTTATAACTGGTTATAAGATGTTATTCAACTGCTATTACTGCTATTATAACTTATAACATCACCAATACATCTTATAACATCTTATAACATCTTATAACCAGTTATAAACCATCAACATTCTCGACCAAAACATCGGAAGATCAAACACAGGGTTATGCCAGATGGGAATAAACAAATCAAATACCTGCGTAGGATCAAGAATTTGTGGGCTATGGGGGGTTCAAAATTGGTGAAATCAACTAAGGCAGTCATTAAAAAAGGCAGGGATTTAGCCAACCAAAAAGGAATTCATCATCAAATTTATGAGGGTTCAATCGCAGTAATGTAGTATATACTTAAGACATCTGAAGACATAATATCAAGCACCTTGGTGAAGGTTAGTTTAATGGTTATTTGGAACAGGCTCCAAGATTAGCTATGACAGCTATGAGATATTATGAGATACTGCATGGAGGTTTCTTGAAAGGAACTTCCCAAACTTCCCAGCTGAGCTGAGAAAGACACACCTGACAGGTCACAAGTAGATGATGCCAAGACCCAGGAGGACAAGCGACTGATGTGGACCAGGGCTGTCTTGATGGTTTCTTTGGCTTATCTTCTAGGGGGGTTGTATATGGATGTATCAACCCGAAAAGTATGAATTTGTGTATCAACCTCAAAAGTATGAATTTGTAGCGTTTGAGATACAGTTGGTAGTGTGATGGGTTGTCTATTATGGGGTTTGATCTATCCATGCGTAATAATCCCAAATAAACAGCAAGAATTGGTTTGTATATCTACATGTTTCTACATGTTTCTTCACAAGGGGTATAAAACTGTTCCGAAATAAGACCCCACGGAACCACGTACGTACGTATTGGTAATTGGATTTTGTCCACTGGCCCATTGCGACGGGAATCGCAGAAGGAAATCCCAGCTAATTTCATGGCGCCAGGGGGAAGATCTCTTGAAGCAATTGGAGTTTCTGCTGTTCAAATTGGAGGTGCGGACTGTGCGCAAAGTGCGCAAAGAGCCCAGAAAATCCCATAAAGACGACTGGCCATGATGGGCATGAACATCCAAAACAGATGAAACCCCAAATGTTGGTCAATGAGTCAATGAGTCAATGAGTCAATGAAAATTGCAGAGACTGCGGGGTACAAAATGATACAGGTACAGATCATCAGATCATCACGGGTGCCCGTCAGTTTTTGCCGAGTTTTCACTCCTTGAGACACAAGAGACACTTTGTTTTGGGTCGTTGTTGATAGCTAGAACAGCTAGAAGTCTGAATCCAGACTTTTCAGATGTCACTTGAACGACGTTTCCCCATGTGTTCCAACAGGACCATTTCGCTTTTCGAAAGGAATGCATGGACAAAAAATATATGAAGGGACACCGCCCAAGACCGCCCAAGCCCCAAGATTTCGCCAGGCTGCTGTGGGTTCAGAACAACGCGCAGCCACTTTGCAGGCAAGGTACTGGTGCAAGGTGACCCCGTCAAGACATGGCAAGACATGGCACTGAAAACTGCGTCAGAAACCATAGGTTTTCTTTGAATGGGGAAACTGTCTGTAAATGTATTCTTCGCTGGGGGGTTCTGATTGCCATGTTTGATGCTGCCACTTTGCAAAAGCCATGGAAGTTTCACGATTCCAAAGATGAACGCTTGGCTTGTTGCCCCTTGTCAGGCAGCCCAGGTGAAGGCTGGAGATGGGCAATACCTGAAAAATGTATAAAAATGTTGTCCTTGAACTTGTATTGAATACATCAAATTTTCCATGTTCTACTGGAATCTACTGGATCGTTCGAACACCAAACCATCAAGACCCATCAAGACATCAAAAAACATCCGCATGAATTCTGCTGGACCGGGAGCTCCGGAAAGGTTCCTCGGGAGCTCTTGGCGGCCGCCGAGAAGCAGCTGAACTGCCTCAACGAACTGCACCGGGTGGGACCCGGGTGGGACCCGGGTGGGACCCGGGTGGGACCCAGGTGACATCCCGAGACATAAGAAGATTTTGATGCGGAAAGATGTAGAACGGTTGGTCAAAGATTGGTGGTCTCAAATTCTTCAAGGTCCATCAACTTCTGTTTGGGTTGTTGGGCAACAATATTGCCACGATGTATCGTCATTTGGAAAAGCATGGCAAATCAAGTGGATAGGAAGATTCTTTCAGATGCTTGTCATGATTCACCGATGTCATTTGTTGAAATTTCTTGAAATTTGTTGAAGTGTTTGCTTCATACCCTCTGGTAAACTAACATAACCATGGAAAATCACCATGCTATTAATGGGTAAATCCACTATAAATGGCCATTTTCAATAGCAAATTTTGACATAACCAGAGGGTAAGGGGTTTCCTGTTAAAAAAAATGAGGTGCTGGCCGCCGGGGATGTTCCGGGCACACGGCGCGCCCTGAAGTTGGCAGAGGCACCCTGGTTGTCCGTGGGTCACCATGTTTTTCGGCCATGGTGTAAACATCATTGTCCCATGGAAACCGCCAGAAATTGTGGAATTATTTCATGTATTTTCATGTTATTTCACTATGTCCAATGAAATCCACATCTATTTCAGACATGTAACTATCTTGCCAACATATTGATGGGGAAACAACAAAATCATTTGCGATAATGGTAGATGCTACCTATTTAACAATATTAATTCATAATATACAGTGGTTAAATCTGCAATCATTTATGAAGAATTTGAACCACAAGGAACGAATGTCCAAATCTTTGAGACCATATGGAAAGGAGTGCAGCATGTTATACTTAAAACCCCATCATAAACTGATATAAACACATGATATGTTATACTTAACTGATATGGAATCATGATATAAACTGTATTTCTATCTGTCACTCGATTCCAGCGGCTAGATCTGTGTGATTCAGTGTGACATATGTCAAACTCGCTTTCGCAGATGGCGGGTGTGAAGAATGAGGAGATTGCCTATGGCCTCAGATGAGCTCGGTCCGGTGGTTTATCGATAGTTTGGGTCGTGTTTCGAATAGTTATAGTTTGTAGACAGGGAGCCCCAAGATTTGAATGTTTAATGTTTAATGAGGTTAATGGTACCAAAGAAACATGTTTCTTGTGAATCCAATAATTTGTAGCACAGTATCATCAATTTGCTGGTTTCTTGAAATTGTGGACCCCAAACCAACCAGGAATCAACCATGGTTTGTTATTCGAAGAAACAACTGTGTCAGTCAATCAGCCACAACCAGCCATTGAACAAAGAAATCCGAGGCATCTGCTGATGAAGTGCAGCGACGCTGGGGCGAGCTGACGAGAGAGCTGGAGATTGCAGCACTGAGCCCCAGGGATCATCAGGGATCCCCCGATCGCAGAAATCACCTTGAGCGATCAAACCTCAAACGATTTTCAAAGGTATCAAAGGTATCAAAGGTATGATTTCGTGAGATCATGAGAAAAGATGAGAAAAGGACTGCTGGCTGTACCTTGCAGTTTGAACACCTGATCTTTGCATGTCAAACAATATCCACCCCTGAAAATGCTGTAAAGTCCCATAATTGATCATCGTGTTGCCATTTCCATTTGAATCCCAATTCTCATGGTCAGTCCCAGATGTATCATGTATCATGATTTATCCCAAGTTTGATGGTCAATTAGTATTATTCCATATATATATAATATATATATATATATATATATTATTGACATTTATTAACCCGAAAGGTCGCAACTAGACACCGTGAGCCAAGGTTTCCATGGGCAACACCGAACGCTTGCAGACTGCGCTCAGCAACACCGACAACAGCGGCATCTCAGAGGACTGCCCAGCACAACGATGGTGAACGATGGTGAACTATAGTTGGATGTGGGTCAAAATGGAAGACCTAGGGGACCGCAGATGTTAGTCTAGTTTAGTATTAACCATCCAATTATTGGGGTACCTAATTTTGACCCATACCCAGTTGGAGGGAATACTAATCGACGATCACAACATATCACAACATATCACAACATATCACAACATATCACAACATATCACAACATATCAAAACATTGACTGCTGTTCCACTACTGCTTAAATCTATTTTAGTTTTTCGGATGATGAAAGATATTGAAAAAAAATCTGTGCGGTGCTTCCCCACCCTACAAAGACATTCTTGCCCAGCGTCTCGCTGCCATGGTGCCGGTGTTCCATCGTTCCATCACCAGCTGGTGAACATTGTTCCGAATCCAGTGGTTTATAATGGTCTATCAATGACATTCAATGACACTCTGTCATTATCTATCATCATTTTATATGATATTAGTTTCCAATTCTTTGGCCATCAACTGGAGAATACCGGTAAATCCGGTAAACCAACATTTCCGGTCAAAAGCAGCTATGTTGACCCACAAGATCATAATAACCTCATTACCCGTATGTCGGTTGATTCTATCCCAATTCTTGTGGCTTAATTCCTGTAGTTTCCATGGTTCAAATCCTAATTCTTCATGGAGTCCCCCATCATATCCATTATTCACTGATTAGAAACCTACCATTATCCAATTATCCATTATTCTTTGGTTAAATCCGAATTTCGGCTGGAAAAAAAAGGAAAACACATGAAATCCCCATGAACTCAATGAACTCATATGTTCATCATTTTCCATGGATTTTTGTAGCGAAAAAGGAGCAGTTGAAACCCGCGCGGAATCTGCTGGGCGCCTTCCAGCGCTCCGATGCGGCTTTCCTGGAGCTGGATGAGGCGCAGATCGGAATCCAAGTTGTCAAAATTTTGGTCATGGTTAAACCGTTCATTTGTCAATAAACAAAACATTGTTATATAGATCATAAATACATATAAATACCATGGTAATATATAGTTTTTTTTTTTTTTTCGTACATATTTCACCGAAGGAGAATGGGAAGACTTAAATTGATGGTTAACCATTGTTTAATCACTTAATTTTGTGTTCAGAATTTATGCCAACACAATTTGAGATCGAACCAACAAAATTTGCCGGTTTCAGGCTGGTTACGTCCATGTGTTGGAAATCAGCTGGTTTTGTTGGCCTTGTTTTGGCTTTTTGGGACCCGCCTTGAAGCCTGAACTTGGGGCTGTGATGGGATAAAACAGGAAATATGTGGGTTTCAAACAGCAAAAGAGATTGAAACCAACAGAATGGTGTTTATCCAAAATAAGTCAAATGTGTTGTTCTTCGCATGCCCTGGGTTTTAACCCATGGCTCGGAATCAAGTGGAATCAAGATGAGGAGTGATGAGAGGGTATAGAGCAACAGCGAGCTTGCTGTGGTTGTTCTGGTCATTGGAATGACTGCATGACATTTCTGGCTCAAGAGATATCAACTACAGAATTAAATCAATTCCTGCGAACTTGAGGATCACTAAGGATCCCCAAATGTTGAAAATTTCAATCCTTACTCGATTCATCACGATGAATTGCAACTTGTGTCTTTTGCAGCGTCCATGCTGCACATGCCCCTATCGTTCCATGGCCTTGCACGGCTTGAACGTGGTCACTACGAATTCCTCAAGGATAGCGATATGGGCTGGCTTTGGCCGGCACACATTGTGCATGTTAAGACACTGTGGTGATCAAAAGAAAATCCAGAATTCCCTGGGTGAAGCCCCAGTAAAATCAGCTGCCTTTCAACTTAAAGGATCTTAAAGGTAGAACATCCCCTACAGCCGCGGCATACCAGCTGTAAAGCATAGAATAGCATAGAGAAACCATGATAATCCACAGTCTCAATGTCTCAATATGTCTCCATTATTCAACATGAATGGACCGAATGGATCATTGGACATGGATGTTGCGGATGTGGCATGGATTCAGCCGGAGATCCCAGACTTTGGTATGTTCGATGCAGCGCTGCAGATTGCTGCAGCCGCATAACCATCTCTCAATGTATTATGCCATTCATTGCAATAAGTCTATACATTTCTTTATGGAGTTTGTGTAATTTTCAGTGTATTTTGTTTGAGATTAGTCATACTAGGTCTATGAACAGATGCTTTTTGCTGCAGGCTTGGGTAGGATGCGAAGGACCAGCAGTCAGAAATGACAGCTCAGTATCAGTATCACGATCCATGATGTGTTCAAGTAGCACTCGCAAGGCATGTAACATGTAACATTACAGGATATTACAGGATGAACATGTATATTGCAGCACATAGCATGCTATGACAGGATTTGACTATACCCTTATACCATGTTATACCTGAATCACAGCTGCAAAACGAGAACTTTGCCTCTGCTCTCCACTTTCAAGGTGACCATTTCGCAGCTGGGCCTTATGGGATGTGACTTGACATGACATGGGATAGGCGCGTGACAGCGAGAGACGGCGAAAGCCACATCGTTATCGTTTTTTTCCCCGACAGGTTACCCACGGTTACCCAGGGTCAAAAGTTTTGTCGTTTCGTAATGCAATTCGGCAATTCTTTTTTTTTGTTCATTTCTTGTCGAACGACCCTTCGACCTTTCGACCTTTCGGATCGATGTGCCATTTCGTCGGCAAAGGCAAGCGTGGCGAGAGAGGATCAGGTGCTGCGGGCAGCAGAGTAGCAGGGCATAGTATAGACGATGACGAGACTCAGTGACAAAAGCAGATTGAAAAAAACAGAAGCCATCACTGGCCAGCACTCATGACTCAAACAACTGTTGAGTTTGGCAGTCCATTCTCCGACACTCATCATCACAATGTCATTCCACCATTCCACACATTATGTCGTGCCTCTTTTGCATATATCTTTATGGAGGGTGCATGTATTGAGTGCTTTGACTAGTCACTACCAAAGAAGACAAACAAGCAGAGTGACCGGCATGAAGCAATCTGAAGCGCATTGAATCATCTAGCCAATGCCATGCAATGTCAAGCTTTCAGACTTGCTTTCATAAGCTTTCTATCATGTTCTTCTATCATGTTCTATCTTATTTGACCTATTTGCTTTTCTGAACTTGGATGACATGCCGATGAGGCGCCCAGACGAAGGTCAGACTCTTGAGGGAATCCGGAGCTGCCAGGGATCCCAGACATTCCCAGACTCAATGGGATGAGACAAAAATTGGAAAAGTACCGAATTGAACCCAGTTGAACCCAGTTGAACCTACTGTTCCGTCAATGTTACTCATTGGCCAAGAAGCCTCTGTCTTGATGTCTATGAGTTTCTTGTATGTTCTTATCATCCAAATTGTCTCCTCATCTTTACCACTGTCTTTGTCCTTGCTACTACTTTCTCTGGGGTGCTTTGCAATTGGAGGATATTGGAGGGATTTGAAACTCCTTGGACAAATTTGACCTCCCCTCACTGAGTTGACCAAGACTGTCCCAGATTCAGTATGTTTTCCCTAGGCTTTGTATAGCTTTAAGACGGCTTGGTCTAGGTTTGGACAGCTTCCCCTTTGTCTTCAGATGTCTCAGCTAATGCTGGCGGATAGCGATCCTCTCAAACCGAGTGTAAGACTTGTCTGTCATTTTGTCATTTTTGTCATTTTCCATATTTCCATAATGCCATACTTCTTCCTTGCCTGCCTTAGGCAGGATCCCACATCCAGCATTCCTGCCTCCAGCGACAGAGCTTTCGCTACGAGAAGGCATGTGATCAGAGTGATCAAAGTGTGCCGCTTGGAATGGTAGGATGGGATAGGATGGGTATATAGCAAGAAACTATAGCATTATAATGCATTATATATAGCATTATGTTTGACATTATATTGCACAGTGTCAGCAGCCTCCTGCATGAACATTTGCAAGTTGACGAGTGCTGCCACTACAAAGCGTGCAGTTTACCGTTTGTTGCGAAACATGCGGGGATGGTACAGACCTCAAGTTTGAACTCAATTCTTCCCATTAAACAAAGGCAACTAGGTATAACCAAGTTACATCAACAAATTGGTCATATTCCGGCTTCATCCTACAGCATAGCCGACCCTGCTTTGTTCGACTCGTAAGGAGTGACACAAATGATGTTGTTAACCCATAGGATCCATGTATGGTAGATATATACTAACATTGGGGGTATATTTGTATTGATGGTAAATGTTACCATATATAGCACACATGGATCCTATGGGTAACTGTTGTTATGTTTGTTTTTCGATGTCTCTTGTTCTTTTCGATTCTGATTTGGCTGTTCCATTGCTACAGCTTGCGCTGTAGGTGGTTTGCATGGCTACTCATGCAAGGTGTTTGGCTGGGACCCTGAGGACGAGCGCTCACAGAAGTAGTAGGCACAACCAAAGTTTTCAGTCGTTCTTTTGGGGCCCTTGATTTATCCACGCAGATGACATCTTTTTACATTGTTGTCATATGTATATAATGTATAATAATGTATATATATACACTATTTATATTTATATATTATATATTGCTGCCATACAAGTACGTATCTGAACACATAGACAAAGCATGCGGAACTGTGCAATCTACCAGTGCAAGGACTCAGAAGTGAGCTTTGCCTTCCCTGCTGACACAGCGATGTGGGAGGAAGAGATGGAAAAATCAAAACAAATGAAAGAAGAGATATAACATATAAAAAATAAAACGAGTTGGCTCTGCATATGCTGCTTTTGACAAGACGGTGCAAGAAGCTAGCCAAATTCGCCTGGTCCATAATAACCGACATCATGCAAGCCCGGGGACGCCTGTAATATACCTGCCTTGTGTCGTGCGCAGCTGATCCTGAGCAAGAGTGTCCCGTCCACCGGCAGCAGGCTGCAACTCTCGCACCCTTGCGTCACAGAAGCCATTGGGCCCTCTTGCGCCGCCGAACCGAACATCGGGGAGATGCTCTGTAAAGAGCTCTCCCTAGTGTTTGGTCGGGGGCCCAGAGGGCGCATTGGCCGGTGATGCATGGGCGCGTGAGGAGCAGCTGCTTGCGGGTGGGCGGGACACTCTCTGCTCAAGGTCTGCAGCGTAGGACCTTGGCAGGATGAACAGGCGGCGCCGGGCCTGGGTGTAGTTGGTTGCCAGAGGCGTTGGGCTGAGCGGCTTGCAGCTTGGGCGGTCGACTGGCCCTGCGCTACCCTCCCGGCCCTGGGCTGCCCCGACCGGGTGATGGGCTTGTGGTATTGTACTGGCCACTCTTGTTGATAGCGGCGCAGAGCTGGCTCACTCACAGGGGCAGCCCAGGGCCGGGGGGGAGGCATTCAATTTTTTTTTAATAAAGGGATATTGCGGGGGGGTGAAAATATCAGCAGAGGATTGCAAGGATGACGAGAGAGCTCTCTTCCACCCAGTTGGGCAAGCGAAGACAAGACAGCGCTTTGCAAAGGGGTTGCAAATGCCACAGATTCAAAACGACGTCAGCAAGTCCCGGGCGCAGGGTAGCAGAATGTAGCAGAACTACATTGGCAAAGCCATGACACAATATGACACATGACAGTCTTGGAATATCTTGGAATAAGAATGATGTTGCAGCATGTTGCAGCCGTGTTGCGTAGCGACCTCGGCTACGGCAATGTCACTGCCCGTGAATGCAAAGTAAAAAGGCCTTCAATGAACAGCGGAGCGGCAACTGGGAGCTCATGTGAGATGTGGTGCCTTCGGTGTCACCTTGCAGTATCTGGTCAAATTCTTCAAATTCTTCAAATTCACTCTTGATTTTTCTTTTAGATGTTTTTAGATTTTTCATGAATGGCATTTTTCCCTCATTTTTTTCAGAGGCGATTGACAGCTGTGATGCGGAGATCATCCACAAGTCCCTGGTGGACGCGTGTAACAACAACGTCTCGGACAGCGTCGGGGCACCTGGGGCACCTGGGGCACCTACTCGGTGGATTGACACGTCGCACTGACAGGGTCCAGGTTGTTTTATCAATGTTTAAAGAATTTTCAGTCCGGTCAAAATGAAAAATCTATTTAATATATAATATATATATATATTTAAATATCCTAAAATCATATCAGAATGAAGAACATCCTAAAATTGAATTGTTAATTTTGTTATGGTTTGTTCATAAGATCCATATGAGGTTCAAGTATGCTCCATTTCCATCCAGGTAAGGGTTGTTCTACATGTAGGCCAGAAACGGATGGGCAATGATGGGCGATGGCAATGATGACAATGATGGCAGTGATGACAATGATGATAATGATGACAATCATGACAATACGCCAGTGATGGCAGTGATGACACAATGACAATGATGACAACGATGACAAGGATGACAGTGATGACAATGATGGCAGTAATGACAATCGTGACAATGATGTAAATGATGACAATGATGACAGTGATGACAATGATGACAGTAATGACGACGATGACAATGATGACAGTGATGACAGTGATGACAATGATGACAATGATGACAATGATGACAGTGATGACAACAATATGGCAGTGACGACAGTGATGACAATGATGACAGTGATGACAATGATGACAACGATAACAGTGATGACAGTGATGACACTGATAACAGTGATGACAGTGATGCCAGTGATGGCAACGATGACAATGATGACAGTGATGACAGTAATGACAACGATGACAATGATGACAGTGATGGCAATGATGACAACGATAACAGATATAACAGTGATGACAGTGATGACACTGATAACAGTGATGACAGTGATGCCAGTGATGGCAACGATGACAATGATGACAGTGATGACAGTAATGACAACGATGGCAATGATGACAGTGATGACAGTGATGACAATGATGACAATGATGACAATGATGACAGTAATGACAACGATGACAATGATGACAGTGATGACAATGATGACAATGATGACAATGATGACAGTGATCACAACAATATGGCAGTGACGACAGTGATGACAATGATGACAGTGATGACAATGACAATGATGACAACGATAACAGTGATGACAGTGATGACACTGATAACAGTGATGACAGTGATGCCAGTGATGGCAACGATGACAATGATGACAGTGATGACAGTAATGACAACGATGACAATGATGACAGTGATGGCAATGATGACAACGATAACAGTGATGACAGTGATGACACTGATAACAGTGACGACAGTGATGCCAGTGATGGCAACGATGACAATGATGACAGTGATGACAGTAATGACAACGATGGCAATGATGACAGTGATGACAGTGATGACAATGATGACAATGATAACAATGATGACAGTAATGACAACGATGACAATGATGACAGTGATGACAGTGATGACAATGATGACAATGATGACAATGATGACAGTGATGACAACAATATGGCAGTGACGACAGTGATGACAATGATGACAGTGATGACAATGATGACAACGATAACAGTGATGACAGTGATGACACTGATAACAGTGATGACAGTGATGCCAGTGATGGCAACGATGACAATGATGACAGTGATGACAGTAATGACAACGATGACAATGATGACAGTGATGACAGTGATGAAAAGATGACCAGAAACGGATATAGATGGGCAATGATAGGCAATGATAGGCAATGATGTGCATGTAAAGTTTATGAAATTTTGATGTCAACCGAATTTCAGTCGGAGAGATGTTCGATTGTCCAAGGAGTTGATCCTTGGTGCCCGCGAGATGTTGGACAACGTGCTCTTTCTGCGACAGCAGTTGCTGAAAGCTGTAGAGGCGCGGCAACAAAAGGACCCCCATGGAGCTAAAAGATGCCCAAAGAACATAGAACTCAAACGTACTCAAACTATCCGAACTTTGCTCAAGATTCTGGAATTGCGGGTGTTATTTTGTGCTGGTCGAAGAAGTAAAAGGCAAATTAGATTCTTTTTGTTCTTTCAAAACACCTTTCAAAACCAAAATTCAAAGTGAATTCCCGACTTCAAGGAAAGGTCTCCATAAGTAAACCAAATTTCCCAAGTGATTTTGCATCGCATTTTCCATATTTCTGGGAAATCTTCAGAATTTCTCTCCAGTCGATGGATTTGCAGCGGCTGCATGGCGCGGTGGAAGCCGCGCATGACAGTCTTCCAGAGAAGGCTCGTGGAACATGGATGGCCCGGGCGGCCAGTTGTCGCGGTGATGGTTTGGATTGGGGGAATCTTGTTTTGGCCAAACGGGCCAAACTTTTCAAGTGAATCATTCATGAATATTTTGACACAAGCCCATGTGCTTGTAGGTGGGGGCAAGGTTTGCCTGACAGACGGAGGTAAATCATATGATTAGCATTTTGATGCATTTTGTAGTTTTCCAGGCAGCGAGAGTTACCGGATGGTAATTGTGCGAGACTGAATTGCTTAATTCCCAGAGGGTAACTGTTGGTCTCTCTTGACTTCTTGGAAAGCAATTTTCCAGAAAGCGCTTTTGTCATGGCTCATTTCTCATCTCATTTTCCCAGTATCTCTAATTGTCGCAGGAATTCAGAGTTTTAACATCTCAACAATCCTGAATCTAGATTAATCTAGATGAATAAACACAGTTTTGCAATTCTTAACATCTCAATGATTTGGCAAAATGCAAAAGCCAGAGAATTTCCAAACAGAGTCCTGGAGGAGAATCCCTTTGGATCCTCCAATCTATAGCTGATATAGCTATCAATAGCTTGCCCACTCCAAGTCCACCAGGATTTGGCCAATGCCATCCACATCTTGGAGGACAGGTTTTGAAATTTCCAGTCAGCCTTTTGCTTCATGATATACATATTAACATTATTAACACATTACAATTCCAGCAAAATATTATTTGATCTTATTTGTTTAGTTACTTATAGTTGCTTTCTTCCTTATTTAGTATTTACATGCTGATATAAATCGACAGGAAAGCATCCCTTAGCGGCAGACGCAGGAGCTGAAGACTGGCGAGTTGGGTCGCCTGGAGCGTCACCTGAAAGCTGCCGCAGAGAGCGGCGACTTCCGCGCGCTGGATGCGCTGCTGCAGCGTGCGGAGAACGCTAAGGAGCTGGGCGTTCAGGTGTCGGAAATGGTGATGGTGTGTGGATAGTGTGGGGATATCATGGAAATAGGATGGGGGATGAATTGAATGAATTGAATGAATTGAATGGGTTGAATGGGTCATGGTTAGAGTCATGGTTTGTCGTAAACATTTTCCACTGAGTTTCGGTATTTTTACGGGGAATGTGCTATGGGTATGGAGATGGGGTTAGGGCCTTCCAGCACCAGACATAGGACTTGACCGGTTTAGGACGCGTAGAGGTTGACGAACCCTATTTTATTGGCTATGGATCAACAGACAAAAACCTTGGCATTTCTTGCTTGTGACACTTGTCACGACAAGGTCTAGCTAGTAGTCATGCATGTTCATCCAACCAAACAACCAAACAACTGGAAAAATCGTCACTGGGATTGGGATGGTTTGCTTGAGTTGGATGAATGCATAAAGGAAGGTGGATTGCATTTAGTGAATTTTAGTGATATATTGAGGGCATGATGGGATGTTACACATCGTTAGTGATGTTGCTTTGACAAACAGTCTGATGTTTGCTGTTTTCCGATGCATTAAATTCGTTGTTTTCTGATGCTTCTTTTGGCCTTCCATTGGGGTGTGGCTCCTTTGGGTTTCGCACCGCGAAGGTGGAAGAGTTGGACTTGGATCACTACCAGCGCTTGGCGCAGAAGCATCAGGCGATGACGGCGATGATGCCGATGACGGCGATGACATGGCTTGTACCAACTGGTTGATGTTGTTTTTTTTGGGAAATGGGGACCATAGAAGCACTCATCCAATCATCCAATCCAAGACTGCCGTGCGAATCATTGAGATCTTTCCAGGCGGCGAATATCCAGATGCTGCAGGACCTGACCCAATCCCCAATCCAAGTGGAGCTTCTTAGGCATCGCCCGATGAAGATCATATAATCATCTTATACGTATATACGTATATACGTATATACGTATATACGTATATATATATGCATAGTTATATAATGTTATATAAGTACAACATAGTACAAATATAAGAGCATCTCAATTTTCTCAAGATATCTCAAGTATCAACTTCTTTGTGAACTCTGCGTGAACTCACAGGAGGATTTGCAAAGATATCGCCTGAGCACTGATTGGTCGCTGCCTTTGTTTTATGGCTAGAAAAAATGCGGGACGGGCCCCCATAGCCATCAAATGCCATCAAAAAATTGGAAAATTAGTGAACATGAGAAGAAACATGAATGAAAATTGGAAGAAACATGAAGAAGCCATCAATTTCAAGGGTCTCAATCAGCTTCACCTGAAGACTTAATGTGACTGCCAAGGCCTGCCGTTCTAGATCGACCCGAAGAGGATCAGGACAGCAATGACAGCCATCGAAATGGGATGAACATCCAGTGCAATGGGCTTTTCACAACAGGAGGGTGAAGAATTGAAATGATTCGCCATATGGCTATGGATCAATACCTATTAATACTTATTAATACCATTTTTAGTGGGATGAACATCCATAAATCCCAGCTATTTTGATGTGAACAAAAAAGGGGTACCAGGGTTTTGACCCATCCCCATATCCCTTCACTGAAGCCCCGAACCCCCCAATCTCGGTGGTGGATTTCTGGCCTTGTGAACCTTCCAGGAAGAGCCAACACCTGAAGTCGTTGAAGTGGTGCAGCTGCCATCAGTCGTTGCCAGAGCCCTGGACTTCTGGCGATGTCCACCCGGTTCCACCCATTCAACTCAAATTTGTACAACAGTTATATGATATATTATGATATTATATGATATAGCTGATATCTAGCTTATAACATCACAATTAGCCTCCATCAACATCCATCAACATGATGCAACTTTCTGGGTTCGATCCAACGACACGACTCCTCCAAATCTGCAGCGGATTTGTCTCGACATATCACATGTCACCATGAGATCACCATGAGATCACCATGAAATCACCATGAAATCACCATGAAATGACAGCCTTCACATCATGTCACTGTCAGAGTGTCAGGTTGCTGGACAAGTGCAGCTGGATCTTTACCCCCGCGGCATCCGCAAAGAGTTTCTCACCTTGCCACGGGAGATTGTGGAGGCTGAAACATTACCGTTGCGACGCTTTGCGGTTATCTAGATGGATTTAACAAGGTTTAACCAACAAATATATGATATTAATATATATATATATACATAATACACACACATATATATATATTAATGATTTTTAATGGTTACCCACCAAACATTGGGATATCAGTGATAATCAAAGATAAACAATGCTTGGTTGTTTCTTTACATGTGTTTACCACCTTGTTTCCCATGGACCTACATGCTATATCATTTGCAGAGGTACTTGTAGTTTTCAATATGGGTCAAGTCTTTGGGGTGACGGAGCAGAATTGGTCATGTTTAAACTGTTTACTCTTAAAGATATCCACTACAGATTGATGTTTAACGTTGGCGTCTGGAAATTGAATGAAATTGACACATTCGATTCCATGATTCCATGATCATAGCGACTTTTCAGTTTTCAGCGATCTTGACGACGGGAGTGACTGGAGTGACTGGAGTGGAGGCAAAGATTCAAATTGCATTGCCGGATGCCTCGGAAGACGTCGAGCCTGTCATGGTGTTGGGCTCGGCGACATTTTCGACAGAGTTGAAGTCAGCACTCTTCGAAAGACAAGGGGGATCCCATTGAAAAAAAACAAAAAATGGTGACGCTCCCAATTGACTCAATTGACTTTTGTATTATTTTGAAAATTGTGTATTCGGATGTGTTTTGGACATGGTTACCACATGGTTCCCATGGTCGAAAGTCTCATTGAATTACATCGGATTGCTTCAGATGGCGACCCCAATGTATCATCCATGTTATTGGCTTTCTCTACTGAAACCAATGGTGAATAATGGTGACAAAATGTAGAAAATGGTAGAAACATGTTCCCTCCAAACCCCACGTTCGCCCACACCCAGATAACACACCCAAACAATATCATATACTTGTCACCAAAGGATGAATGAAAACACATGAACACACTGGCTATATGCAGCGATGTTAATTTTAGGTTTTTAGGATTTTAGGGATTGAGGGTTTTAGGTTTTGGAAAAGTAAAAACGCTAGCCCTACGCAGGGATTTGAGCAGTCAAAGGATATGCGGGATCCGATGCCGCAAACAAGGGGTTTGCAGCGAACATGTTTTTTTGCTGCTAGAATCCATTATTTTGTGGTTCCTTAACCCGCTTAATTAACCCCCAGGTTTGGTGAACTCCCCAAGTGAGCCAACGTCCCCAAGACATTCGAATTTCATTCCGATTTAACTTTGAAATCTCACAACAATTGACACAACATGACACAACATGACACAACATGACACATCTCTCCCATTGACTCATGACATACTCATGACATACTCATGACTCATTGACACATCGACTCCGGATCTCTGGATCGAAGGAAGCTCGGTCCAGACTCGAAGAACTCACCGAGAGCATCCAGGCCATGTTGGCCGAGGAGGTGCGCTCGGTCCAGACGCACTCCGCACAAAATAGCACAAGTGATACAAAGAACTGAGATGAACGGAGCTACTACTGCTGAGTTACTGGCTGTTAGCGTTTTTTTCAGATGCTGTTAGTATGGTGTTAGTGCTGGTTTAACATGATTAACATGCATGGTTCAATCATCACTTACTTGCTAATCAGCTAATCCTGATTTGAACTCCAGTGAATTCAGAGCCCAGTTGGTTGATGAGAAAGTTGCCACGTTCTTTGGGATTTCTGGGGATACTTGATGAGATATCAGATATCGAATGGGAATTTAATTTGAAACATTGTTTATAGTTTTAACCACCAAACATCCATAGGGATATAGTTGATAGATGGTAGTTTGGTACGAGGTTCAATGACCCAATATACCAGAATATGTTTATGGATGTTTATGATGGAAAATGATGATACATTGATACATCATGAATCGTCATGATACATCATGGATTTTGGCGTTGAAACTGGTTATGATAGGTCAAAATATGTCAAATTCATGGTACTCATGAACCGATTTTCACCCACATAGGTACCCCAATGCCCCAATGACTTGACCCATTGGATGGTACTGTCCAATGGACGGCAGGACAAGCTTCGAAAGATTGGTGGTATGGAAATCCAGGACCCAACGCGCAGCCAATGTGGTTTTCTTGACAGCATGGTAACTGTTGAACTGTGAAGGAAAACAGAGAGCAGAAACACATTTCATCGATATTTCATATTTCAAACTTACAATTGAAAATGAATCCTTTTTTGGAACACGTAAAGCATGGTTAAAGCATGGTAAAGCATGGTAAAGAGCTTTGTTTTGTTGAAACGGTCCAGAATGTCGGATGAGTTTTTTTGGCCCAGCATCGCACAGGACGACGGTGCCTATCGACACGTGACCTTACCCATTGCGCTGTATCTCAGTGCCAGCACCAGCTCACAAGAAATTATCGAGGACGGCGCGACGGGCTGCCAGATGGGCAAAATATGGGAAAAATATGGAAAAATCACAGGTCATTTGGATCATTTGGCTACTGTATGGATCAATACCTATACATACCTTTTTAGTGGGATGAACATCCATTTACCAGCTATTTTGATGTTCACCAGGGGTACAAGGTTTTGACCCATCCCCATTTTGGATATGCCTAAAGAATGCCTAAAGAATGCGAAAGTGAAGGTGTCTAACCGACCAAGAAAGGTTTATGGATGAATCACCCATCACCATGATTCCTGGGTACGAAAGCGACAAGCTTTGCCATGGGTGATGGTAATCCCACAGAATCCCGCTATTTCCATCTATTTCCTGTAGTATTCCATGAATCTAACAATTCTCCCTACAAAATCGCAATAGCTGGGATATTCCATACCGGTTCGTTTGTGGGACTATGTTATCCAGCATGTTGTCCAGCATCGCAAGTATTCAGTCATCATCCCAATAGGAACATCCAAGAATCACCCATGGGCCATGGAGTTGTTCCAAGGCCAGTTAGTATAACCCCCGGCTGCTTGGCAATACTTTATATTCCGATCGTTATTCTACCTATATAATCTATATGGTGAGTATACTTGAGATCTGATTGCCGTCCCATTTATCCCACTATTGTCCAGTAATTGTCCCAATCACGACGATCACTATCCGCATCTCACTCCGAAACATTATTCAATGATCATCCAACATCAGGAATATCACTTGATCACCATGAGACCCATGAGTATCCCACAAGTGTCCCTTCATTTCCATCCTTTCATTCTCCCATCAATCATAGTCACAATCAGCTACTGATATGAGTTCGGATCAGATACTATATCTTATAAATTCTTATAATATATCCATCTAAATCCATTGATTATCATTGATTATCATTGAATTTTATTGAATTTCATTGGCCAGTTGATGATTTTTAACCATTTTTTCCCATTTTTTGACCATTTGTTCTCTCAGTTTTTCTCCGAAAACGTCCCAGACAGATCCGTCCATCAGCGATCCGTCCCTGAGATCCGGCGAGGCCTTCTTCGAAGTGCCCGAGGACGCGCCCGAGGCCTCCGAGGACACAGCAGCAGGCCTCCATGCCGAACGGAGTTTTCATGGTGAAAGATGGGATATGATGGGATGTTTGGAAAACTTTCATGAGTTTCATGGATGTTTTCATGGATGTTTCATGGATCTTTGAGTGGATTTGTTTAGTGGATTCTCAGGATCAGGATTTCCATGGGTTTGTTTTGAAGTGCATTCGTGTAGATTGGCATAGCATTTCGGAAGACTCGAAAGTTGGAAGAAATTGAGACTATTTCTTCAGAGAATGACATGCCAAAAGAACAACTCAGGAAGCTTGAAAGAAGATGTTGAGTTTTCATGTTTTCTAGACACATGTTCAGTGTTTGAAACTACTTGTATGAACTGTAAAATGCGTGTTCATGTTTTTATGATGTTTTTATGTTCATGTTCTCAGCTCCGTATGAGTTCCAAATTTGGTTTGGTCGCCACGGTCGCCACGGTCGCCACGTAGGTCGCTCCTCCAGAGCCTTCCACCGCTCCAAGTCCTTCAACTCCAAGCGCAGGGCCAATTCCTCGCAGAGCGACAGCGGCAAAGTGGAGAAATTGGAGAAATCCATGAGGGTTTGTCTGAAAATAGGGTTAATCTTCCCAATGAAATAGCCATTTAATAGGGATAATGATCAGCAAAACCATTGGGTTTAGGGGTACACAACATTTTCAGACAAACCCATGAGTCGAAGACAGGGAAAAAACTTTTCGACGACATTCGACATTCGACATTCGACTCATTCCAATCTTCGATCCACCAGAATCTGGTCGGAGATCCAGGGAGTAAGTCTGTCTATAATTTTCTCAATAGTCTTAATATGTCTGAATTGAATCTTAAGATGTCTTAATCATTCTTGTCATTCTTGATATCTTCGATTTAATGGGGATGTCATGGGGATGTAATCTAATGTAATCCAATGATGATATGATATGTATGTGACTGTATGACTGTATGTGTGTACATATGGTGAATTTCATTCAAAGAATCAGAAAATTGTGAAAAACACATCAAGACTATGGATACGCTGGGGGTTTTGATAACACGCTGGGGTTTTAATACGCTAGGGGGGTATTATAAAAAAGTACATCCCATCAATATGTTGCTGGAAGTTGTGGATACCATGATTGTATGATAGGAGATATACAATAGCGGGGATATAATGGGAATGCAATTGCGATTACTCTTCCACAAGTACCAGCCCACAAGTACCAGGTACACTTGGAGTGTAATCCATAGCCACAGAATCCAGTGATTTGCACCATGATTTGCACCATGATTTATAAATGATTGCAGTGATGGTTGGGAAAGGCTGGCCTGTCGCCCGTTTTATCGTTTGTGAGGCTGTGAAGGGCCTTTGGCAGTGTTTAAGTCTGGATCTCAGGGACAAAGTCTGTCAACATCTGTCAACTTGATGCCGAGATGTCAGGATGCACCACTTGCAATTCGCTTCCTGCGCTTCGAGTCCTAGGGTCCTAGGGTCCTAGGGTCTAATTTGGAGTGCATTTGGACAGAAATGAGAGAACAAGGAAGACTGGGCCACACGCGCCCAGAATTGAACAGTCACTGCCGGGTCCCCAGTGAGAAGCCTGAATGGTCGATCAAAGATCAAAGAAACCCAAGAGCCCTTGTCAGAGCCCTTGTCCCAAGAGATCCAAGAGGTCCAAGAGTCAACATTTGTCAACGATGCTTTCCTGTTCCTCAAATCTACAGCACAGCAAAGCACAGCAGCTTCCAACACACACGAAGGGATAGTCTTGCAGTGAACTCCACAACCATGGTAACACACCGAACACAACGTCCTAAGATGCATATTTGGCAAAAGGCAATGTGTCCGATTTACGCATTTGAGCATCAAGTGAAGTTTCTTCCATCGGTCAGACATCGACATTTCATGTTTTGATATTGCGATCAACAAATGTCATGGGAACACATGTTTTGCCATGTTTACAATTTTTGTGGATTAGCATTCATATGCCACAATTAGGCCACTTTATATCATGAGTAATTATAGTATAATGAGTAGAAAATGGTAGAACATGATAAACATATATAAAAATATAGTGACATGCAATTCCTCAATCCAATTTTTCAGTAACTGTTCTATCAGATTCTGTCATTTTACTTTTACAGTCACTGAAAATTCCAACTCCAACGGAGATCTGCCGTGTGGATGCGCCGCTGGCGCAGTGCGCAAGGGGGGAGCTGGTACTCCGTAGCAGCTTGGTGCTAACAAAGTGGCGGAGTTAACCAAAGTCAATGGGAGAAATGGGAGAAATGGGAGAAATGGGAGATTGGCTGTTAAAATATTGTGCATTTGTAAAGAATTGTTAAAGTAGAGGTTGTGCATTTGAACACTGGAAAGCAGTGCGAATTTGAACTGGTGAGCGAATTGCAGATTGAATTTGATGGATATATGAAACTTTAAATCACAAAATGTTCACCAAACAAACGGATATATAATTACATATAGTAGAGAAGGGTAACTTAGACGTTTTTGAAAGTTAACCAGCCAACTTCACAAATAGAATGCGTCGAAAAAAATGACACATAGAATGCAGCCAAGGGTTTGGGGGTATGTTTTATATGAGTTCAGCTGATTTCTACGGTGAATTATGCCTTCCTGGACGATTTTTGTCCCTTCCTGCTGACCTTTGTGACACTTAGAATGCCCCGCCAATCCGACACAAGAAATAATTATGTAAACATCTTGATATCTTGACTAGCTTGGGATTTGCATGGTGTTTTTCAAAAACGGCCTTGGATTCAGTTTATTGCTGCGTTGTGGATCTTTTTGCGTGGGCGGCTCTGCTTTTTGCTGGCTGCACTCCTTTCCGAGAGTCTCAAGTTGATTTCTTACCACATGCTGGGCGCATTCTAAGTGTATTCTCAGCCCTGCTACCACTGTTGCTTTGCTCTCTTGGCAGTTGGTAGCTGCCCTTTGCAACTGACTTTTGAACCATTTTTCATGGACATTCTTGTTTGGCTGGCCTTGGATTTTGGTTCCAAGGTGTTTTTCTTTCATCTCGGGGTTTTGTTTGTCTTTGTTGTTGCCATCATTTTTCTTTATGTCTTTTTGCTATGTGTATGTGGCTTCAGGTTTTCCAGTTGGACTTCTCTCCCAACGAGCTGATTCACACACCAGGTTTGTTGCAGACACATTCAAAGTGTAGCAGTGGTCCAGTAGGATCAGGAGAAAGAAGCTGGAAAGAGCACTGTTTTGGACGCCAGGTGCTTACTGTACTCAGCTGGATTTTGGATTTTGTGGTCTTCTATTTTCAACATCCTATTTTGAGGGGCTTTTTGAAATATTTTGAAATAGTGTTTGCAAAAAATGGCCTTGGATTCTTTTTCTAGCTGCGTGGATCTTGTTGCGTGTGCGGCTCTGCTTTTGTTGGCGGCTTTACTCTTTTAAGAGTCTCAAGTTGATCTCTTGCCACATGCTGGGCGCATTCTAAGTGTATCCTCAGCCCACTGCTGCCATTGACTTTTGAACCACTTTTTTATGGACCTATGTTGTTCTGAGAACTGTTTCTGAATATTATTGAAGTAACATGTTCGTTTTTTCTGGCTGGGTTCTTGCACAGAGGGAAGCTCTGGCTATTTTGGTGAATTGACCTCAAAATCTATGCGGACATATTTACATCAACATTTACTGGCCGAAAGAAACTTACTCGAGAAACAATGTTAGATAAGTATAATGTACTGTAAACATATTATATATATAATATGTTATATTATGGTGTCCGCATTCTGTGCTGGCCACATGTTTATGACCTGCAACGCACTCTGGAATTTCCTTTTCTCTTATCCTCTTCCCTTTTCTTGTCCTTTTCTCCTATAATGTTCCTTTCCTTTTCTTTTCTTCTATGTCTCTATTGCCCATTGATGTATATTTGCTGTAGTTTCAATGGCAATTCTATCTGTGTGTGTGTTTTTCCCCCACTACAGCATTATAACCACGTGTTTGTGACCTGCAGGGGAAGCTGGAGTTCCTTTTCTAGCAGTTTCTTCCCTTTTCTGGTTCTTTTGTTCTATAAGGTTCCTTTCCTTGCCTTTTTTTACTTACTGGAGGATTGTTTCTGCATATTCTTTTGAAGGGGATAAAACTGCTTTTTGGTTCTGGGCAGAATTGTAAGATGGGGGGTATATAATATATATATATAATCATGGCCATAATATTCATATTAACAACACATACTGGCTGACTGAAACTTACCTTTTTGCCTGCAATGTTGGGATATATATATAATTATAGATATAGTCGGTGATTGAAACACATATAAATGTAAATATATACATAGTACGGCACTGAAACATATACATTGCTGTGAATCCAGCATTCTATGTTGCACGTCATTCTATGTCTTACAGGTGATTTTTTGGAAAACTTTCCCTCATTCTATGTTACACTTCCCAACTATATAAGTTATAAAGTTGAGATGATGAATGGGGATTTTACCAACAAACGTGGGATGCTTAGCCACCAAACAGGAGGGGATCTATGATGGGAACATCACCAACCAGATGTGCACTTCATTCAACACCAAAAACCTTCAACCGCCTTTATTTGGAAAATGTGTGGAGTCTTTGTTTTCCAACTTCGTCTGAAAATGGGGTGCCCCCAAATCCAAAGGATTGTCAGCATTTTCTCCATCAAATTTGACACAAGGCTCAAGGTGGGAATATATCCTATCAAACTACGTATATTTTAATCACCAGCACATCCCCATTATGGTTGGTTTTATGTTGGTGTTCTTCCCCTGAATTTGTTGGATAAATGACATTTTTCTGTCGCAAACTCCAGGTCTTATCTTTAAATCTTGTAATTCTGAGGCATGGAACTCTGAGTCATGGACTTGGCGAGAAGGATATGGAGAGTCGAGCCCACCCGGGAAGGCGGGCTTGGGTTTTAACATGTTTGAACATGTTAAACAACTTCTGAAGTCGACGGAAAAGGGGAAGAGCATCTGAAATATTGAGAGAAACATGTCAGAAACATGTCTCCGTTGTTTCCTAAATCTAAGTATTGAGATACGTTGACATTCCGACCGACAGTAAGGGCCGGAAATTGCAGTTAGAATTGGCTCAGGCACATCGAGATGAACGACGTGACAGCATGCCGTTTCGACGACAAAGAGGTCTCACTTTAGGGTTTTCAAATTGATTTCTGTTCGCTGAAAAAAATGTATTCACTTGTTGGTTGGAAATTAGTTTGAATTCCTTCTTTTCAAAAATTTGGATCTTGGTCTGTACTTTCTTGCCCTAGTCTCGCGTCTTTTTGAGCTCCCTTTGCACAATCCTATCTCTCTTCAGGCTTTAAATGGCCAGCTTGCCAACAAGTTGGAGCATGTCTGGAGTCATCACATTATGTCACCCATGGTCAGGATTTAATTACCGTATCATGTCAGCCATTGATGGCCATCGATAATATCACCAGCCATTTATCATTGATCATATCACTGACCTCCGAGCATTTTGTGAAAGTCATGGTTTGAAAGTTTGAAAGAAGTTTTGAAGTTTTGAAACGGGCTTTGAACATGTTTGAACATGTTTGAACATGTTTGAACGGTAGCTGGCGGCTGGTAGCCCCACATAGCCCCACATAGCCCCCCTAGCCATGCATGATCCACGCATGATCCACGGTGATCCGCGCATGGTGACATGGCGACAGATGTGACAGGCGGCGCCGAGAAGGTCACGCTGGCGTTGACGGTACAAGGCCCGCAGCAGGCCCTGGCGACTTGGCGCAACAGTTGCCGAAAGATATGGATAAATTGGTATATATTGGTATAAAATGGTATACATATATATATATATTATATACAGTATATATATAAATACATATATATATATATATATATATCTACATATATATATATGTATGTGTATGTATTATGTTGTATTATATGATATATGATGGATATCTCTTGTACTTACAGTATATTTCATGTCCAGGAATGGATGGTACTGGGGAGTTAACTTATATCCCAAATGGTGGGGTAACGTCTGTACAACCAACAGAATTTATGGTTGGTGGTTTGAGATGGCTTGCTAGTTTTCCAACCGTAAATGCGGAAATTATCAACCACGAATTAAGGATACAACTGGATATTGAGATGGGACAAGCCCGAGTATCATTAGTTTGAACTTGCCAGGTCTTGATTTTAAACAAGGGCTGCAAGACGTTTGTCAGGAAACTTCATGCGATATTAGATGCAGCCTCATGTTCATTATCGTCCAATTCAGTGCGTTCTTTGACAAGATGGGGAGACACGGTGAGCACATTGCTCCTGGAATCCTTGCACTGTGACACCAGTGTTGCGAAATTGAAATGTGAATACGTAATTCGTAGAGATCGTAGAGAACGATGAGAAAGTTGCATGCATTGCTTTCAATGCGCCGAAAGTGTTTTGATCGGTCCTGGTCACCACTGCGGTCTCTGTTGAGGCCATGGTGAATGGTAAGAAGCAGATTGAGAATCGAAGCTGGAAGATACCAATGGGCTGGTGGCGCAGAATGGGCAGAGGATGTGGGCAGAATGGGATAGGATCGACATACACAAATCATTTCACAAATCCACACAAATGTGTGTGCGTGTTGTTGTCTGAAGCCTGTCATGTGGAATGTACATGAATTTGCCCCAGAGTAGATGTCCAACAAATTGCGTTTGGCTTGTCACAGTCTTTCGCTTTTTGACGTTTTTCGCTTGCTTCGTTTTGTGCTTTCGTGAGTTTATGTGAGTTTGTGCAAGTAGGTATGCACTGCACGTTGGAGGGCGACCCCTGGCAGTGCTGGGGGAGGATTGGCTTCGGCGGAAGCTTTGTTCCAATATGTTCCAATTTGTTTTTCTGATCCACGGTGTTTGAAGTGACATGGTTTACAGCATCTAACCAGAACGCTTCATGATGTTTCATGGGATTTCTGGAGATGATTTCTGGTGGAGCACTGCAGCACTGTTTATTTGTTGATTTTGTTCTATTTTGTCGTCCACCGGGGCGCCTCATCATGACACTCCAAGGATGGAGGAAGCTTGGCCAGATGCCCCGCCAGAGGATTCTCTGCCGTCCTCCTGCATCGGTTCATGGCCTGCACTGTGTCGGAAATGCATTGCTGAACATGTATGGTAGATATCTGATGATATCTGTAGGACGTCTCAATACTTCACATCTTTTTTCAGAATTTCGACTCCGCCAAGTCCCTGTGCTAAGTTGGCCTCATTCACATCTCCGAGCAGAGGCAGGGCCACAGTGAAGCCGTTAAGCCCCTGGGGATATACCATTATACTTGACAAATGATGGTGGGTAGATGAATGATAAATGATTATAAGATATTATTAAGATATAAATTATAAGGTTTTCAAATGTTCTCAAATGCTTTCAAGCAACCCCAGGGAAATCCAGGGCGCTGAGGCGACCTGCGGATTGCGAGCACCAGAAAGTTTGGGCCGCAGGGCCCGTTTGCCACATCATCGACGAGGTGCCCAGATTTAGCCTTGTGGGATTTCAAAAAACAACCCGGGTAAATCCTAGTCACATGATAAAATAACATAAGCCACATATAATGCCACTGACGTACCCGAAATTGGCCGTAAATCCCGTACTCTCCCCAATTTTAGCAGGTTTATTGTTGGATGTTGTTGGAATTACCTGACTTTTTTCCAGGCCATTGAGCTGTCCCAGCCCATTCCATGTCGCCACTCAGCTTAAGAATAGAGATGGGGTAAACTGGACCCGATGTGACCAGAAAAGAAGCATGATGAAAATCATGATTCAATGGCCCTTGATTGCTGGCAATTGATCCGTTTTTTTTTTATAGATTTGCCAAAACGGTTTTTCAGGTGATATCACTTCTGCATATTTTTACTGTCCAGTCTTCCGATGTGTTTGCTTGCAAAAGTGCAAGCGCCAGCGTGAGGTTGTTGCCAAGAAAAAAATGCAAGAGTTTCGCTGCAAAGACTGCTGGGTAATCAATTTGCCCAAGTCATGACTCCAGAAACATTCAAACCGATTCAAACCTTTCTTTTCTGAACATGAGTGACTCTACTGCCAGGACAAACCATGCGAATGCACAGATGGGATCCAAACATCATGACATCATCATGACATGTTGACATCACCAGGTGGGGAACGAGGCCTTTGGCAGCTTCCCCCGGCCGCAAGACTTGAGATGCTCAGGCCGCTCATTTGAGTCCATTGGTTTCCAAAAACACAATTTGAATGAAGAAAATTGAGGAAGCCGATTATAAAATATTATAAACCCTATATTTGTATATAATGTATATATTATATATATATTATATTATATGGTTTATAGGAGTCACTAAAAACTACCAGGATTTGGGGGATGCTGCAAATATGCGGAAAGCTAAGTTCACTGCCAGGCAGCTGCCGCAAAGTCGACATTTGCGCTTCACTGCAGAAAAGACGGCATTTTTGCACATTGTGAAGCATTTGTGCTAGAAATTTTGCACAAAGCTCTGCAAGTTGTGAAGCATTTTTGATAGAAAGATGTGCAGAGTCAGTCAGAGGCTTTAGAGGCTTTGTTTGCTATGACATGCTATGACTCTTTGAAGTGATTCTGGAAGGTTTTCCAGCAAAAGCCCGCCCAGTCTCAGGTTTACATGATGTGCGTGGCCGTGTGCTACGCCGTATCACCGTTGAATTGTTGGATGCTTAGAAAAAGTCATGAAAAGTCTTGTTTTGCGGCTTTGAGAAGTCAGTGGTTGAAAGGTTGGAACAAGACATCCCATTATAATTAATTATGCAAAATACAGATGGAAATTCCATGAATTTGGAACGGATTAGCCTTAGATGCTCCGGATGGAGAGAGAGGGGAGAAATTTTGTGATGCTTATTGACCTCCCAGGCACGTCTACCCAGCCAAATGCATTTGTCTATACGGCATCCAAAATCTGTGTTCAAAATCGGAAAATGTTCATCATTTCTTGGAATTGGGAGTACTGTACCATACTGTACCCTATCTTCAAACAAACCCAAATCAAAGTCCCGAGCGACCCAAGCACCATTGAATAAGGACGAGTTTGTATCATCCACGTGCGGTTCAGTCAATATGAAAAGGGACCACATGGAGGGGAAGAACATCCGGCACCATTCCCCATTACCCCCCCGCATTACATCCATAACTTCTAGCTAAATGTTCATCGGGCTATGATCGGGGTATGGTCATTACATGTCCATACACGTGATTTTAGAGACTATAGCATCCACCCATTAGGGCATATTATGATTATATATAACTATATATATATTATATATGTATATACACTATATAGTGTTAGATTAATTATGTTATATCATGTTATATCATGTTATATCATGTTATATCCACAATTCTGATGGGATTCGTGGGGATTATACTTTTTTTTACATATCTAAATAACCGATTTCCATCATATCCACAATATCCATATGTCCAGGTTTTGGACGCAGCCGGTGACCTACCGGGAAACGATGGATGCAACGTGCATCGCATGGGTCTCAGGGTGAGGCAGCAGATTACCGGATGGGAACCAACAGGTGGGGTCGCGGTGGGGTTTATGATGGGGGTATCACCGGTATCACCAATGAAATTCTGGTGGTTGAGTCATGTTGAGTCTCATTCTGTGAATAGATGTTGAAAACAGCAGAAAAGACAGAATTCAAAACATTGCATATGCAAAAATTACTCGTTTGATCATTCATGTTCACAGCTGCCTCTCAATTTTCTCCATCGTAGTCCTGCGTGCACTGTGCGGGTTCAGATTAACGTTGTGGCAAGGCTATGACTGCGGATGGCTTGGTGGAAGTCGTCAATGCTCGAGGTCGATCTGAGCTGTGAACTAGTCCCAGTATGTATTGTATGATATGTATGATCTGTATGATATTGAATGTGTGTCCCAGCAGAATAGCTTCATGTGCTTGCTCTCTTCTCATCGGTGCCTGGTTGACATGTGTTTCATCAGCGGATTGGTCTGGGTTTGGTCAAAATGCATTTGGTTTTATGAGTTTTGTTGATTTGTACGGTGGAAAAATGACCAGTCGTTTGCGGGTCGATTTGTACATCTTTGTACGCCCTAGTTTTTTGGGGGGTATCACTGATTCAATGCATGGGAGCCACTCCGTGAGAGCCGGAGGCGTGCACGGTGCCTACTATGGGGTGGACCAGAGTTCCTACCGAATCCAGTCCAAGGCTAGCGAAGCTTCAAGGTTGAAGACAAGAACATCGGGAGAGTTTCAAGCTAGTCCAATGGAGGATCGGGTAATATCCTAAAAACACATTTTTTCAGATGAGGAACTTTGTACCAAATTAACTTGAGATCGATAACTTGAGTGTGTTGTTGCATTTGGGTTGAGATGTTGCGTACTCTCGTCGTTGTTGGAACAGTTCCTTTCTGAATGATTTTGGGTGTTAAACATTGTTAAACGGCAAATGAAAACCATCCCAGGATTCTCAGAATTCTTATCGGATTTGCCCTTTGGGGCACCAGGGCGTCGATGCGCTCTTCGGGGCTGTGGCCCATCTGGGAACAGAACGCAGTGAGGGCTCCGACATGCAGTGGAGCCTCAGACACAGACACAGCAACTGGCAATGTCATGTTCCCAGAAAAACATCCAAACTAGCCGAACAAAATCGAACAAAGTTCTTTGATGTTCTTTGTGAGTCCGCAAAACTCACATTGTGGTTTTTCTTCTCACCGGTCAGACTTTCCTCATCCTCTATACACTCTGGAAAAGTCTCAGTTTTGCTTGGTTTCAGAGCTGTAGCTGAACCGTATTTGTTTCCTCCTGAGTTTGCCCCGTTGGCTTCTTGTCTTCGCTTCTCCACCTCCCTTCCTTGATCGTTCTGGCAGTACTGCACTATATGGCATGCTCAGGCTGCTCTGGTCATGTTTGATGCGAATCGCAGACAGTGCTGCAACAGATTCTTCCGAATTGCAACACTGCGTAGTTTGGGACCCTTTCTTTGGAAGCCCCTTAGGCTCATGAATTAAGTCTTAAGCCTCAAGCTTCTGAATTGGCTGTTGCAGTGCGCTGCCTTAGTGATGTGTGTTTTGGTGTTTCTTAGTGGTGCGTGTTTTGGTGTTATTTGGTGCCTAAGTCGCTGCATGCTTTTGTAACTTTGTTTTTCCTTCAATTTATTTCTGCTTGGATGTCATGCCTTGTTTGGTCACTTCTGATTTGCTTTTGAATTGTTGCGTTTTTGACAATGCGCACGTGCTTAAGAGAAAGCAAAGGAACATAAAGGAACTTGAAACTGTTTTTTTGCATCCACCCCGGTCAGACTTCGAACAACGCTGATTTTTGGGGCAACTTTCGATGGTGCAGACCGCACATCGCCATCAAAAGGCCGGAAACGAACGCATCTGCTGTTTTGGCTCAGGAGATGTGTTAAAAAGCCGCTCTCTTTAGCCCAAACTGGTGGATCTACTTGGAGGATCTAGGTTGATCTAGGTTACCTAGGTTCGATTTACTCTGGTTGTTTGACATAGCTTCAGGGTTTTATGCGATGAATGAAACATGTGTGCATAATATTGTGTAATGAACAACGGGTAGTTCGAAGCAGCAATACTCTTTCAGTTTTGGGCCACAATTCACAATGGAAGATCTTCCCCAACATGTTTAGGCATCTTGTGAAACAGCTGTTGAATACTGAATGCATATGTTTCATGTATTCAGTTTTTCTGTTCAGACTGCTTGCATTTGAATGTTGACATATGTTGACTTTCATTCATTTCCTTTTAGATATGTATATGATGAATGGAGTTCGGCGCCGCTTTAGCCCTTCGTGGGGAATTTACTTGTGATGTTTCAAAGGACAAGTTTCAAAGAGAAAGCAAGTTTTGAAATACAGTCTTAACATGTCTTAAATATGGTCTCTATACACGGCCTTGGATGAAAAGAGCAAAGTCAACCGTTTCTGCCACCCGCACACTGTCGAGGGAAAATTTTTTGTCCCGGATTTGTGGGCTATGGGCTAGACCCTTGGACACAATATGAAGCAGACCTAAGTGCCGGAGTCTTTTCAGAATTTGTGGGCCAAATGACAACTGATTTTTGTTGATTCAAATCATGCTCCCTTTTTTCATTAGAGAATAACCGAGAGAGAAAGGGAACATTATTTAAAGCAAAGACCAATGACGCCACATGCCACAAAGAGAATGGGATAGGGATCTTTTGCAGGATATTGTATCCTGAGAACCACGAAAGAAGGAATTATGAAAGATTATGCTAATTCAGCTGGCCTATTTGATTCAGGACATGATATGCGGGATCTATAAAATTGAAGACAATCATGAAGAAACTTCGCCTCCCAAACATGTGCGAAAAGAAGAAACATGTGAATGACTGTGCGCACAACAGTTTTTCGTACCACTTCAGCTGGTTTGATCCTGTATGCTGAAGGTGTAGTGTCACTGGTACCGCTGAATCTGCTAACAAGTGGCTTGTGTCAAATGTTTGGCGTGGCACAGGTGTTTTAGCTGGCTTGAGCTGCCTTCAGATTGGGTTAGTTACTGTTAGTTGCTTTTATGTGGTCAACCAAAGCAGCTCAAACTAACAGCACGTGTGTTGTCTTTGGTTTTGTTTCCTTGTACCGTTGGATCCTTAGTGACGACCCCAAAGCTTAGATTGGAGCTGCCAACCTTCAGGTTTTTTCTCGTCTTATGTTCCTTCTTTCATAAATACTTGGCTTCCTTTGTCCTTGAGCAGTTGCCCTGGATTCTGATTGCATGTCTCCATTTGCTTCTTTTTGCTTCTTAAAACTGCCTCGGATCTATTTTGGTCCCGAAGTCTTCCCTTTGCTGACTATGCTGTCGCCATGCTGTCGCCATTTCACTGTTGAAAGCCTCTAAGGGGATCGTTGGATGGGAAGATGATCTGCAAGCAGATGATGCAGGTGGGGCCAAGGGAACAAGAATGACAGATAGGGCGAAGGTAAAACGATCCGCCAAAGCCTGGGTTGGGATCACAGTCTGTGTTGGATACGGTTTTTGCATATTTAATTGATGTTGTGATATGCCTTGTATGAATGACATCACAAATGGTTTAATATTCTTCATGCATCTTCATACATTTTCAGCCAATCCAGGACATGATTGTCTAATCTGATTGCATCTGTATTGTCTTGGCGTATCCTGATGCTGTGGTTCATGCGTTTGCCCTCCGTGCATTGCAGGTTCGCTTAGACCTGCTTCCAGAGCGTGTCACAGATCTTTTCTTCGTGCTGGCAGCGGGGGCCTCACGCGGCATGCCGTTTCTGCTTGAAAATTGAATAAATTGATGAATAGAGTGAATAGAGGGACAAAGAGCATAATGTTACATCGACACTAGTAAAGGGGGGTCCCCCCCTATTTTTTTTTAAGGGGGGGTCTGCTTTGCAATAGTAAATCGAAAATCCCAACTCTTCCCCAAAGGCTTCTGTAAGGTTTTGACAAATCCTCTCTTTTCTGATGGGCTCTGATGGGATCTTCATTGGATTCTGAAAGGAAGAAGGGAAAAATATGCCTGCTAGAGCCAGGAAGATTGTTTCTTATTGCAAGTGCTAATTCCAGTTTTTAATTGCAAATGCAAGGACCTGCAAGGGGGTACCCTTTGTGGACCTGTTTTTTGCAATTTTTCCCGAGAGCGCCTGCGAAGGGTTCTTCGTAAAAAAGCAGCCGTTATACTACATCTTCACATCTTCACATCTGCTGATCTACATCTTCACACCTTCACACCTGCAGATCTAGATCTTCACACCCTCACAACTGCTGATCTACATCTTCACACCCTCACACCTGCTGATCTACATCTTCACACCCTCACACCTGCACTACATCTTCACACCCTCACACCTGCAGATCGACATCTTCAAACCCTCACACCTGCAGATCTAGATCTTCACACCCTCACATCTGCTGATCTACATCTTCACACCCTCACATCTGCAGATCTACATCTTCACACCCTCACATCTGCAGATCTACATCTTCACACCCTCACACCTGCAGATCTAGATCTTCACACCCTCACGCATCTTCACACCCTCACACCTGCAGATCTACATCTTCACACCCTCACACCTGCAGATCTACATCTTCACACCCTCACATCTGCAGATCTACATCTTCACACCCTCACATCTGCAGGTCTACATCTTCACACCCTCACATCTGCAGATCTCCTCTCGCTCTTCTTTCTATTCTCTCTTAAGGCGGGGGCGGTGCCGCCGGAGCGCCACGAAACGCAACCCTTTCGCACGAAATGGACGTTGGACGTCAAAAACTGAGGAAAAATTGCGAGTTTACTTTGTCCAACGCAACCCTTTCGCACGAAATGGACGTTGGACGTCAAAAACTGAGGAAAAATTGCGATTTAAGGTGTCCCGCGCAACTCTTTCGCACGAAATGGACGTTGAACGTCAAAAACTGAGGAAAAATTGCGAAAAAAGGTGTCACTTTGCAACCTTTTCGCACGAAATGGACGTTGAACGTCAAAAACTGAGGAAAAATTGCGATTTTGAAGTATCCATCGCAAGCCTTTCGCACAAAATGGACATTGGACGTTGTGTGTAAAAGCTCTTGTGTGTAAAAGCTTCTGTGTGTAAAAGGGTCTGTGCGTAAAAGCGTCTGTGTGTGAAAGCGTCTGTGTGTAAAAGCGTCTTTGTGTAAAAGCTCTTGTGTGTAAAAGCTTCTGCGTGTAAAAGCGTCTGTGCGTAAAAGCTCTTGTGTGTAAAAGCTTCTGTGTGTAAAAGGGTCTGTGCGTAAAAGCGTCTGTGTGTGAAAGCGTCTGTGTGTAAAAGCGTCTTTGTGTAAAAGCTCTTGTGTGTAAAAGCTTCTGTGTGTAAAAGGGTCTGTGTGTAAAAGGTTCTGTGTGTAAAAATGTCGGTCAAAGCGTCTGTGTGGAAAAGCGTCTAGATGTAAAAGCTTCTGCGTGTAAACGTGTCTGTGTGCAAAGGGTCTGTGTGTAAAAGCGTCGGTCTGTAAAAGTGTCTGCGTGTAAAGGCTTCTGTGCGTATAAACCTTTATGTGTAAAAGCGTCTCTGTAAAAGCGTCTCTGTGTAAAACAATATGTGTGTGTAAAAGGGTCTGTGTGTAAAAGTGTGCGTGTGAAAAAACGTCTGTGTGTGCGTGAAAAACATCTCTGTGTGAAAGCGTCTGTGTGTAAAAGTGTCTATGTGTAAAAGCTTCTGTGTGTAAAAGCGTCTCTGTATAAAAGCGTCGCGTTTTTTCGCGTTCACGGAATGATGGTGCCGAGCCTTTTTCCGCAATGTGTGTGGGAATTAATTACCATAATAAAATGAGATAACACATGTCATTCGCAGACTCATGGTACCGAGCCTCCTGTGCACTTTTGTTGTTCACATTACATTTCTCCATGTTTCCTTTCTACCCCCCCTTTCATTCTCTCTCTCGCTCTCTCTCTTTCTCTCTTTCTCTCTCTCTCTCTTTCTCTCTCTCTCTCTCCTCCCTCTTTCTCTCTGTGGTTGCAAGACAGATGTCATCTGATGCCCTTTACCAAATATTCTCTTCTTGATCATTCTTACCTTTTTCACACCATATCCTTCCATAGCTCATATAAAATTCACCAACTATTCACCGACTATCTTTTACAACTACCATCCTCAGAGCTGCTTGAAAAACATCTTTTTCGCTCTCGGGCCAACCGTCGTCTAGTTTAAAAGGATTTTAATAAAGAAAACAGCTTTTTTGAACAAGGTAAAGTTTTTGATTTGGTAAAGGTTTGCTTTGTTTTTGCTTTTGAAAAACATGCAATCACAATTAAAAACCATTCAACCACAATTAAAAACACTAAGGAAGAAGGGAAAAAGTACAGCTGAACTGTAACTGGTTCTGATTTTTTTTCCTGCATCCACAGTAAATCTCAATTACAGTAGCTCCTTTACAATTTAGTATTGGGAAATCTGATAATTCGGGAATTTTCTGAAAAAATATTTGTAGCTATTGCGAATGAACCACAGTTGCAGATGCTCTGGACCAAGGTTGATGTTTGTAATTTAAAATCACTAAGGCCTAATTTAAAATCAATAGGGGCTGAAAAATCAGATTCTGAAAATTATTTGTAGCTATTGCACGCGCTTTACTATTGTCCATCCAACATTACTAAGAGCCAACGGTACCAAACTGAACCATCATTTTTATCTAGCACATCTGACGCTCAGAATGTGAAACAGTTTGTGAAACTGAGCCCCTCCCGCCGAGCCCATTTGTTTGAGATTTCGATAGATCAGTCGTCATATCTTCATCATGATATACATATAGTACGATATAGTACGATTACGTAATCTAAAACGAAGCCAGAGACTGTATGTTCTTTGTAGTATCTCGGCTTCAGCGGTAAATGCCTGCACCCCACGAGCCGCCTTGTGGGTGCAACTTTTGTATTTCAGTGAGCCGGATCAGGTGGTTCGTGACTAGCCGGCCAGGGACAGCCGGTTAGCTGAAGTTGCGGCCCAACGACTTAGGATCCTGTACACCCAGCTGGTCGACGTAGCTGAGGGATTCGTGCCGGCCACTGAAATCATCGGGTCCCCGTTTTTGGTCGATCCTCCACGCCCACCGCCAGGGGCAGGAGAGACCGCAACTCCTGGACCAGAAGATGCCCAAGGGGAGAGTAAAGCAACTCCCGGAGTGAAAGAGAAGGAGGAATCAGTACAAGCCACCACTGCCAAATCGAGACCGCCTGTTCCCGGGGAACGCCTTGCGACTGAGACAAAAGAGGCTCCTGAAGAAAAGGAAGGACTCCCGAGCCTAGGGGAGAGAAAGGAGAAGAGCCCAGAAGGTAGTTCAGGTTTAGCCAAGAAGGAAGACAAAGAAGATAGGACTGAGAAAAGGAGCACAGAAAGAAAGCAGAGGAGAAGCTCAGGAGAGAGTAGAAAAGAGAGGAGGCGTCGAAAGCGAGAAAGCAGAGAGAGAGAGAGAGTCACGGAAGGCGAAGAAGAAGAAGAAGAAGAAGAAGAAGAAGAAGTCCTACTGCGTCCTCACCAAGAAAGCGTCGAGCTGCGCGGCGCCCAAAGACCCCTCCAAGGCGGGAGGACAGTCTCAGCAGGAAAAACTTGCCAGGAATTGGTGACGTGGTGGTGACGTGGTAACGTTCTTAGGATTGCGAGTTGGCTCCAGTTCGTTTGGATGGCCTGAACAGGTGCCATGGTAGCTTGCTAACTGCTGCTAAATGCTTCTATCTGCTGGTAACTGCTGGTAACTGCCGGTGACACGATGTGACATGACGTGACATGGTGATATTCAGTGATATTCAGTCATACTCAGTGACAGTAATATCTGATTGCGTTGAACACTCCTATCAAATGTAATCATCGAAGGAAGTTTAGAAGTCATACTTCCGACAATATGGACAGATGAAAAGCAGAGCAGGGCAGAGGCAGAGAGAAGAGAAAGATTAGAAGAGAGAAGATCAGAAGAGAAAGAGTCAGAAGAAAGAAGATGCAGATGCGCGAAAAGGTAGGAAAGTCGCAAAACACTGTGTTTTTCCAATGATTTGTGGCTCCGGAGAGTCGAAAAGTAGGCTCGCTAAAGCGGCGGGTGCGGAGCCAGCTGGCCAGATGAGAGATGAAAATTTGCACGCCGTTGTGGCGCGAAGCAGATTTCGAAGTGAAAATGTACAAAACACACC